ATCCGCAGCACCATGGCACCATGTTCATACCATAATGCCCAAGGTTACAGAACTCCTAGGGTACTCAATTGGCTGATTTTATGTTTACTTTAATTTCATGTTAACCCAAACAAAGATTACGTAGTTTTGGATGAACCCATGCGGATTGCATTTTCTCATTATCAGGCATATTCAGTAAGGTGGTGTAAAACTGCAATAACAGAATGTGAGCCATGTCTAATGCAGCTTACACAGGACTGTCACATCTGCAAAGTGCCTCCACGCACCATAATCTGTGCATTGTAGCACAGTGTGGTCTGGCGTGAATGGGTCCTAATTATGCCCCAAATTATTACTAACAAGAACGCTGTAGTATCCAATATAAAATATTTCCTTTTATCACTGTCTACATACAGTGAGGAACAGAAGTATTTGAACACCCTGCGATTTTGCAAGTTCTCCCACTTCAAATCATGGATTGCACGGAAGGTTCCCCTGCTCAAGTCATCACATGTCCAGGCCCGTCTGAAGTTTGCCAATGACCATCTGGATGGTCCAGAGGAGGCATGGGAAAAAGTCATGTGGTCAGATGAGACCAAAATAGAAGTTTTTGGTCTAAACTTCACTCGTCGTGTTTGGAGGAAAATGAAGGATGAGTTGCATCCCAAGAACACCATCCCTACTGTGAAGCATGGGGATGGTAACATCATGCTTTGGGGGTGCTTTTTTGCGAAGGGGACAGGACGACTGCACTGTATTAAGGAGAGGATGAATGGGGCCATTTATTGTGAGATTTTGAGCAACAACCTCCTTCCCTCAGTCAGAGCATTGAAGATGGGTCGTGGCTGGGTCTTCCAACATGACAACGACCCCAAGCACACAGCCAGGATAACCAAGGAGTGGCTCCGTAAGAAGCATATCAAGGTTCTGGAGTGGCCTAGCCAGTCTCCAGCCTTAAATCCAATAGAACATCTTTGGAGGGAGCTGAAACTCCGTGTTGCTCAGCGACAGCCCCGAAACCTGACAGATCTAGAGGAGATCTGTGTGGAGGAGTGGGCCAAAATCCCTGTTGCAGTGTGTGCAAACCTGGTCAAGAACTACAGGAAACGTTTGACCTCTGTAATTGCAAACAAAGGCTTCTGTACCAAATATTAACACTGATTTTCTCAGGTGTTCAAATACTTATGTTCAGCATTGCAAGACAAATAAATTCTTTAAAAGTCATACAATGTGATTTCCTGAATTTATTTTTTAAATTCTGTCTCTCAGAGTGGGGATGTACCTACAATGTGAATTCAGACCCTTCCATGATTTCTAAGTGGGAGAACTTGCAAAATTGCAGGGTGTTCAAATACTTCTGTTCCTCACTGTACATCAGGGGTGTCCAACTCAGGGTTCAAAATGGCTTTGAATGTGGCTCAACACAACTTTGTAAACTTAAAAATGAGAATTTTTTTTGGGGGGGAAGGAATTTTCATAAGCATGCATTTACATTTAGTGAACACATGCGGCCAAAGAAAAACTTGACAGTGTCTCTTTACTGGACTTTTATAAGTTTTATCTTCCCAAAGAAAACTCTCCCACTCTTCACAATCATGCCTTATTCATTCTATCAGTTTTCAGCAGCACCTATATTTGTCAGCAACTATTTTCAAGGATGAAACTCACAAAAAGCGAAATTAGAACCAAAGTATTTGATGAGTATTGCAACTACATTCATCTAATCAGATAATGATGCGTTACTTTGTTAAAAACTTTGTTTGTCAAATATCGCACTAGTTTTATATTGCCCTCTTTTAATTTTTAATAAAAAATATTACAAAAAATGAAGTTTTATTACCAAAATAGGTACAATATCTGTATCAGTGATCCTTAACTTTTGATCTGCCCCACTTTTTCTGCTCATCAGCTATCCTTATTGTTAGTGTATTTTATGTTTGGCCTAGGACAATTCCTCTTCTTCCACTGTGGCCCAGGAAACTCAAAAGGTTGGAAACCTCTGGTCTACATGGGTACATAGTTACATAGTCTGGCTGAAAAAAGACAAAAGTCCATCCAGTTCAACCATAGAAACAAAAAAGTTATAATCCTATAACCACAGTTGATCCAGAAAAAGGCAAGAAAAACCCAGCAAAGCATGATCCAATTTGCACCTGCAGGGAAAACAATTCCTTCCTGATCACCTGAGAGGCAATCGATTTTCCCTGGATCAACTTTACCTATAAATGTTAGTATCCAGTTATATTCTGTGTATCAAAGAAAGAATCCAGGCCTTATTTAAAGCAATCCACTGAGCTGGCCAGAACCAACTCTTGAGGGAGTCTATTCCACATTTTCACAGCTCTTACTGTGAAGAAACCTTTCCATGTGTGGAGATTAAATTTATTTTCCTCCACACATAAAGAGTGTCCCCTTGTCCTCTGTGATGACCTCAGGGTGAATAGCTCTATATGTTCACTATATGAACCACTGATGTATTTATACATGTTGATCATATCCCCTCTTAATCTCCTCTTCTGAAGAGAAAATAAATTCAGTTCTTCTAATCTTTCCTCATAGCTGATCTCCTCCATGCCTCTTATCAGTTTGGTTGCCCTTCTCTGTACTTTTTCCAGTTCCCCAATGTTCTTTTTGTGAATTGGTGCCCAAAACTGAACTGCATATTCCAGATGAGGTCTTACTAATGATTTGTACAGGGGTAAAATGATATCTCTCTCTCTGGAGTCTATACCTCTTTTAATGTAAGAAAGGAAATGTTCTCACTTTAGAAACTTGGCATTGCATGCCATTATTAAGCTTATGATCTACTCCCAGATCCTTCTTCACCATTGATTCCCCCAGTTGTACCCCCCTAGTATGTATGATGCAAGCATATTCTTAGCACCCAAGAGCATAACCATAACCTTACATTTATCATCATTAAACCTCATTTGCCACATAGTTGCCCAATTAAACAGTGCATTGAGGTCAGCTTGTAAATTGGAGACATCCTGTAAGGACGTTATTCCACTGCACAGCTTGGTGTCATCTGCAGGACTGAAATGGGATTTGTAATCCCAGACCCTATATCTGAATCTTGGGGTACACCACTGACAACCCTAGACCATTCAGAGTATGAATCATTAACCACTACTCTCTGAATACAATCTTTTAGCCAGTTTTCTATCAATTTACATACAGATTTTTCCAAGCCTGTAGACTTTTCCTTACACATTAGCCATGTGTGGGGAACTGTGTCAAACGCTTTTGCAAAATCCAAGTATACCACGTCCCCCGCCATCCCTCTGTCCAAGGCTTTGCTCACCTCCACATAAAAAGAAATCAGATTTGTTTGACAACTTCTGTCTTTCATGAATCCATGCTGTCTGTTGCTTAAAATATTTTTTTCCAGCAAGAACTCATCTATGTGGTATTTTATTAAGCTCTCCAGTATCTTTCCAACTATAGAAGTTAAACTAACAGGTCTGTAATTACTTGGTAAAGATTTTGACCCCTTTTAAATATTGGCACCACATTGGCCTTACACCAATCCAATGATACTATGCCATAAGTCATTAAAGAGTCCCTAAAAATTAGAAATGATGGCTTTGAAATGACAGAGCTGAATTCTTTAAGGTCCTCCCAGTCTAAGTCTTGGAGAGCAGCTCTCAGCCTTGGAAAATTAGCTCTCTTAAAACTGAGCGTTTTTATTTTTCCCATATGTGCTTGCTGTTTACAGCTAACAATAAATGAAATCATGTTATGGTCACTGCTACCCAGATGTTCTTTTATATGGACATTTGTAATAAGCTTTGCATGGTTTGAGATTACCAGGTCCAGCAGAGCATCATTCCTAGTTGAAGCCTCTATGAACTGTACCATAAAATTGTCCTGTAGTAGGTTTAAACATTTTTGCCCTTTAACTGCTCCTGCACTACCATTACTCCAGTCAATTTCTGGGTAGTTAAAATCCCCCATTATTATCATTGTCCTAGCCCTTGCAGCCCTTTCGATCTGTGCAAGGAACTGAGTCTCCACCTCCTCATTGACACTGGTAGACCTATAACAAAACTCCAATGATTACCTTTGTAGTACACACCCACATGTGCAGTTCCAATCATAATTCTTCAGCCTCATCACACTCTCCATCAACTAGATCCTCTTTCACACTCGCTCTGAGATCACTTCTCACATAGAGACAGACACCACCACCTTTCTATTTACCCTGTCTCTCCGAAAGAGAACATAGCCAGGAATATTAATTGCCCAGTCATGTGAAGAACAAAGCCAAGATTCAGCAATACCAATTAAATCATAGTTCTCTTCATGCACCAAAGCTTCTAACTCACCTATTTTACTTGGCAGACATCTGGCATTGATGAACAAACACTTTAATTCATTGACACCTTGTTAACACATATTTTACATATTTTTTATTTTCATACAAATGGTGCCAATTCCACTAGTTGTTTGTAACACGGGAACCTTCTTATCATCTGCCATAGCCTTCCCCCCATTTTTCCCCATTTCACCCACCAATAAGTACTGACCCCTGTCTGATCTGTCTACCTGTTATAATCTAATTCTCCCTCCTCCCTCGATTCTAGTTTAAATACTCCTCCAGCCTTCCCATAAACCTCTCCCCTAGCACAGCAGACCCCCTTCCATTTAGGTGCAAACCATCTCTAGCATATAGGTTGCACCCCAATGAAAAGTCAGCCCAGTGCTCCAGAAACCCAAATCCTTCTCTCTTACACCAGGTCTTTAGCCATGCATTGAGTTCTCCAATCTCCCCCTGTCTTTCCTGAGCTGCACATGGCACAGGTAATATTTGTGCATTTTGTTGTTTTTGCATTTTCATGTTTGACTGCACCTTTCGGGGACTGGGTTTTGTTTGTTTCTGTGGTTTGCCTTTTGGTCTGTGGTTTGAACTTTTGAAAACGTTTATATTTGTACTTGAACATTAGACTGTAGCAAATTATTGCAACGCTATGGGGGTTATTTACTAAGGCTGGAGAGTGCAAAATCTGGTGCAGCTCTGCATAGAAACCTGTCAGTTTTCAGGTTTTATTGCAAAGCTTAATTGAACAAGCTGATTGGCTACCATGTACAACTGCACCAGATTCTGAGTGCACCAGTTTTAGTAATTCTATACCTTTGTCTATAGAAAACACACTCTTCTTTTAAAAATATGCTTACTTTGTGTAGGTATTTAACAATGAATCTCTAATCCATATCTTTTTTTTTAGTTTATTCATAAATAAATTAATATATATGGTGCTGTGTGAATTTAAAATCGTATATTCCAGTAACCTCATAAAATAGTATATTCAGACAATAGAAACAAGATTTAATGCAGAGGAAACAGTCCTTACATAAAAACTTACCTGCATATGCTGTAGGGTGCAAGAAATGTTCTTCACACAGAATCTAACAGTCTTCTCCAAATTTCTGAATACTTTTTCTTCCTTGTTAAATATTTGGTCTTTCACCTACAATGCATTCCAAAATACAAGAGTGTTAATAATCAAAAAGTATTGCAGTATACTGGCTGGCATAATATAGGGGGTGCAATCAGCTCTATGGAGACAAAACCCTGGACAGTAACTTTGGGTATGACTTATAGGTGAAGTTATATAGATGAAGTTCTGTTCCTGTGATGATGTAGGTGAGATTTAGGCTTAGGTTGTAGAACTCATATACTGTTCTTTCAAAATTTCTCTTGCTGTTACAGCACCTGAGGAAACAGTGGATAAACTGCCCATATCAGAAGAAATAGTTGGACTTGAGCTTATTACTAGGGCAGATGTTAAAATGGCACATAACCTTCCTTGGTAAGAGCCAAGATTTAAAGTGGATCTTTGCCCTCCCAACCCCATTTTTTTTTCAAACCAATCCGACCTTTGTCGTGCATGTGTATTTCAGATACACATCTGCCCAGTGGATCCAGTGGTGTCCTGCAGAATCTTCTCAGAATTCTGGTCCTGCTTGGTCTTGCGTTGCTGTCAGGGAATTCTAGTGAGAAGCTCTAAAGGAATCCCACAACTGGAGCATTGATATGCGCATAGCATTGCTCACAGAAATGTGCATAAGTGCAAAGCTAATAGAAATTAGCACAGGCTCGCTCATGCGCATAGCAAGGAGCACACACACATGTGTGTGGGAGTGTGCCCACAGTTTCTGGCACCAAATGGGCTATTTAAGGGATGCTCTTGCTCACTGTTAGTGCTGACTGGTCTTCAGCTGTTCCCTTTGCCCTGCGTTCTTCCAGTGTGTTCCCTTGTTATTGACCTGGCTTGTTCCTGACCTGACCTCAAATTCTGCTCTTGACTTGTCACCAGTTCCTGACCCAGTTTGTTCCTGACTTCGGCTCTGCCTATGGTTTGGTACCTTGCTGCCCACCTGTTGATGGTTCTGGCTAATCCAGTGACCTTGCTTCTGTCTCCGATCTTGGCTTCCCAACCTGTTTGAGTACCTGCTCAGCTGTCTGCTGTTGTAGCTCTGCACCACACTGAGTGTTCCAGCTGCCAGTCTGCTGAAAGCTCTGAAAGGCACATGTCTTGGGCCTGCAGCACAAGTGGAGTGCCCCTTTAACCTCAGCTGGAATACTGAGCATGGCTGCTGTTCCTGACCTAATGGTTCACCAGTATCCTTGGGACTGTATCTCCTGCTGCAAGATCTCCTATCAACATCTGCTGGCACTTGTGTTCCTCCTGTCCCTAGGCACCCTCTGTTCCACTTTCAGTGGGACCTGGGCTGGAGATACAAGAGAGGCCGACCTCATCAGTTCAGTCTCCTCTCAGGTATGTGACATTTGCGATCTTTCTATGTGATGTCATCATGATGCCCGCTGGCTCCTCCAGGTTCAGCTTCCGGGCCTCACAATGATGCACTGCTAGGTCTGTCCCCCTCCTTTCTCAATGAAGGACTATGCCTCCTGGAATACATGATGGGCATATCCCAGGAGGCCAGCAAGCTTAGGCTACTGATGTGCATGAGGGGACGAGCCTGAAGTTTTCACACTAAAAAAAAAAGTGCACTCTGTGTGTAGAGGAGGGGAGGAGGAGTGGATAGGAAGGAACTTAAATTTGAAAGTAAAGATCCTCTTTAAGTGGGTTTTTAGGTGAGCTAAAAATGTCACTATTTCAAAACTGTCCACAAGGCAACATCACCAAACTGGCGCTCTATATTTCACCTGCTTGACCACTCAGGGCTGTGTACTGAAAGCATTGTCCATAAGATCATAATATGTAGGAAACACATGGACATGTCTACTATTCATAGTTAAAATGCAGGAAACACAGTCAATGCAAGCCAGGGTAAAGTCAAGAAATGTAAATTTGGTCTTTTGCAGTCCAGTGGTTCAACTTGTGTCAAATATGATACATGGAATCCTTCCAGATAGCTCAGCTTACCTGTTCTCCTCCAGTCAGTAGTATCTTCAAGTGACTGGTCACTCTCTTAGATTTCTTGGTAATTGAGTGAATACTGAGCTTGGAAAGTTTGTCTTTCAGCGATTCCTCTTCATCTACCCTCCTGTACTTCAGCACTGGAAGTATAGCAAATATCAAAAGGCATCAAATATCACCAGACTGATGTTAAAGGGCAAACCCTTTCTGTAATGTTATATTGACATCCCTGTCAAAAATATGACCCAGGAAACACAGATGATGATTAATCAATTGGTAATCAAAGACCGTCAGCTGTGGGACCACTTAGGGGCTGCAAACTTTGAGAGTGAGCTAGAGAACTAGGAATTAAAAATATATCTTTTGTGAAACTATAATGTGTATCCCAACTCTGGAGAATAAGTTATAAAGAACTGTCCTTAAAAAATATTACAAAACAGTGATCTCCCACATTTTACAGCTTGTTAAATGCAATCAACTGTGGCAAATGACATTAGAAATATAAAAACAGTTAAAAAAAAACATTCAGTGATATCTGGTGAGAAAAGATATTAACAATAATGAAAATAATGTCAATTTTTCAGCCCTTCTTGGTTTTACACATAAAGAATCAGCATCTAATAACAGACTAATCACCAGACTTAGGTGTCTCCCGAGCTACTGGTTGCAAGTGACCATTGGTATACATTACACCAGTAACCAATTGTATTTAGATGTTTTACTCAGCATCTGCTAACAGACTTAGTTGGTCCCCTTATGTGCCACTGTGCTATTTTGTGAGGGTGACCATCCATGTACTATACACCAATAAGCAATGGTATTAGGTGTTTTACTCAGCATCTACCAACAGACATAGTCAATACCCTACTACTGGTTGAGGGTGACCATTTGTATACTATATACACCAATAACCATAAATATTATGTGTTTTACTCAGCATCTGCTAACAAACTTAGTCGGTACTCTTGCGTGCTCCTGTGCTACTGCTAGAGGGTGATCATTGGTATACTATACACCAATAACCAATGGTATTAGGTGTTTTACTCAGCATCTGCTAACAGACTTAGTCGATACCCTTATGTGCCCTTGAGCTACTGGCTGAGGGTGACCACTGGTATACTATACATCAGTAAATAATGGTATTTGGGGGTGAGGTCATCAGCGGTTTACACATAGTGGTTGATTTATTATTCAGGTGTTTATTCATGCCTATAAATGGCCATGTGATAGAGTGTGGGACAGCTTTGGTTTAAAATAATTTTGGCATTTCAGCAGAACGTTTTTGAGGTTTTCATGCAGCTTCCTTTAAGAACACAACTTTGACCTTTTTACAGTATGTGTCATTTCTATGAGTGGTGCCTCTATCTCTTTCATTTGATGTCACTGCTTTCTAATGAACTGGTAACCCACAGCTCTGCAAATAGGTGCTCTTTCTCAAGAATAAGCATTGCTTTCTACTGCATATGAAAATTAGTCACACACCTGATATTGGAGGTTGATATGTAGGGTTTACTTAATACTGAAAGTATCATATGTATGGTGTATTCCTCCTGTGTGCCTCCACTACTTTCATTATTACGCACCCCAGAACATCAGGGACATTTCCACAACCAAACTACTGGACAGCAACCTCATGCTGTGTCTGTGTCCATATACATTCTTTTTTGGTGTATTAACATATACATTCTTTTTGGTTTATGAACATATGCACTGTTTTGGTGCAGGGGTTTAATCAGGAGGTAGAGCTTCATATCAATTTACCAGAACGCAAAAATGGTCAGGTTTTGTGCATTGTTCCTACTTCCCTCCCATTTTCCCTGGTGCTACAAGTGCTCCTCAAAAACATTACACAAAATATAATATCATATATAACCTAAATAGATTTAAAAATATGTATGTAGTGCCCTCTGGTATACATAGTTTGTTGAGAGTAGTTAGAGGCTTGCTAGAAGCCTGGGTTTAGATAGTGAGTTACTTCAGAGCAGGCTGGAGGGCTCTACAGGTCAGTCCTCTGGCAGTCCTCTGGAGAAGTCTGCTGGATGCCTGTTTTTGGCAAGTCTTCAGGGAACAGTTTATAGTTTACCCAATCCCTTGTCCTGGATCAGATACTGTAGCCAGGTGGGCTGGTATTTTGTTCACTTAGGGGACTAAGAGCTCCTACAAGTTGGGACTTTGCTAAAAATACATTCAAGGGGACTCAGTGCTCCTGCAAGCTACCACTTTGCTAAAGACTGCCATGGTTCCATTGGAACACAGTCATCCATCTGTCATTTTTATAGTATTTTCTAGAGAAGGAAATTGTTATTCTATTTTTATTCTGCAATCAAGTTGGGCATCCCATAACCCCTTTTACCCTATCCAAGTTACATTCCCTAATAAAACTTAAAAACCAAGCCCATGGACTGTTTCTTGTGTCTGCAGACAAGTAAAAAATGCGTGTTGCCTGGCTGTGCAGAAAATAAAGGAGGACCCAAAACCAGCGGATGTCAAGAAGGTAACCCTACATGTATTCTCTATTTTGTTCCATGATGTCTACATAGATACGTTAAAGTATCCAACTGGAAATATTTAAATGTTTCAGGTTACAATGGAGGTCTATCTTCAACTGTCTACTTCCATCTACAATTGACTGTGAAATACACTGCTCACAAAAATTAAAGGAACACTTTTTAATCACAGTATAGCATCAAGTCAATTAAACTCCTGGGATATTGATCTGGTCAGTTAAGTAGCAGAGGGAGTCAATCAGTTT